AAAAAGATTTATATTTTGTGTATGAAAGCATTGTAATTTTGCAAAATTTTGTTTCTAATTTCAAAGTTATAGCATGAAAACTATAACAAGCACAAAATGGTTACGAGGTCAGTCCAAGGGACTGAGCTTGTGCTGAAAGAGTTAATGTTTCTTCTTTCTGTTATAGCATATGGGGAAAAATGCTTCATGTACAGTTAGTTGTTGGAAACAGAAACAACTGAATCCAGTAATATAAATTATTTACATTATTTGAGCAACTTGATGATTTAGTTAATAATATCAAAATAAAAGAGAAGCTTTATTAAGTGCCTTTCTTTGAATTAACTTATAGCTTAAACAGCTGTAGAAAATTAAAAAAACATTAATTTCACATAAACACAAATTGATACAGTGAACATTTCTAATTTCTTATAAATCCTTATATTCAATTTATCCACACAACAGCTCATAATATTACAAGGAAAATGTCTATCAATATATTTCATTAATATACAAAGGTACTTGTAAAATATGCTGAGTGCATTTTCAAGTTATGATGGTACAGTGAAACTTCTCTAAAAAGGTCCCTCAGAATACTGGCCATTCCTCTTATCCTATTGTTTTAAAAAGACCTGACCAAACTGTTATATTTTCTAAATAACAGTTACTTTGTTTTACCAGCAAATCCTTTAAACCATCCACTGGCCATTTTTTTCTTAGTATCTGTAATTATTTTCTTGTGAAATTATCCCCAATATTTTATTTTATTCCTAAAAACAACCATCTTTATGTATAGGTCTGATATTTGTAAATAGTTAAATAATTATTTACATTTCCAAACAATGTATTCAAAATGGAAAATTTTTTGTAATCACAATTCTAAACACATGAACTGCACTTGTGGACAAACATCCTATAAGAGATTCCTAATTTTGTTTTGTGAATTGTAAAACTGAAATAATATTTTAGGGACAGTAAACTGTCATAATTCAGAGATGACAGCTCCATTAAAAAGCATACAAACATTAATTAGTGTGCTATAGTTTGCAGCAACACTTTAAAAAAGCTTAATATAAATATCTCACCTTTCATACAACTTTTCTTTATCCCAGTTGAAGTAATTTAAAAGTATCCTAGTAACAGTTGGAGGAATCTGAAATAAAGATTGATTATACATAATCAAAAAAAAATTAACCAAAAACTGTCAAGTATAAAAATAGTTCATTAATATAAACTTAAAGAGTTTTCCATATTAAATACTGTAGACTTCTTTTCATGAAATATTCACGTAAATACAGAATAAAATACTGCTTGGGTAATATAATTTATCAGTTAAAATAGAATCTTGTTGCAAAAAATTGCTTTTTATATAAGATTAAATCTACCAGAAATGTTTACCAAAACTTCCCATGAACCAATAAGTGTGTAGCTCACATACCTTTGCATGATCTGATTAATGTATTTTGACATTCTACCTACTTATATGCTTTCCTGACTAGAATCAAATCTGAGATAAAACACAATATGTTCCATCTAGACTGTACATATATGTGTAGTTTTCATTGGGGATGTGGGTGACATTCCCCACACTTTTTCAAGATTACCTTTTTTTTTAAAAAAATACCCTCATACATACCCTAGATACAGAAACTGTTCCACACACACACACACACTCCTGAAACCAAAGTTATGCCACAGACTGTATGTATTTGATCCATAGTCTAAATTACTATTCAAGTTAAAAACAAGAGTATTCTCTAATAAAATAATTGTATGACAATTCTAAAAAAACTATTATAAAAATGAATTTTTTTACATCTCTATAAAATACCACTTAGATATAACAGTATCCAAACTTTCATTTGCCTGAGCTTTATCTTTATAACCCCACACTTAGTTATTTAATAACACAAGGATTTTGATAATGTTCTGCTTTGACAGGAATAAAATGCAGCAGATTAACCTCAAATCGAACTATCTACTTTTATTACCAAACAATATAAAATATTTTACAATTTACAGTTTTACTAACAGAACTTACTGTGTATGTGTATACAAGTATAATTCAGATGGTACAATGATTTATATCACCAAAAATTTTAGTTACACTGTAGGTGCTCAAAATTTCAAGTTCTATGAATCAGAAACTGGCACTCTTACTTGGTACTAAAATAAAATAAAAAATGTTATATTGAACCATGCCAGCCAAATTGAACAGTAGCTTTCTTAGTAAACCTTAAAAGTATAAAGCACTAAAAAACTACTGAGTCATACATATACAGGTACTGTTATGGTGTGAACCCATTTTCTAAGCTGACAAAGCACGATTATAATTAATTATACTTGATATAAGACATTAGTATTAAGCTAATTATATTTTTAACATTACATATCTTCTTCAGTCACTTAGGGCTTTTTGGCAGTGTATGGCAGTATCTCAAACATATTATGAACACATTTTGTTCAATACAGAGCTCATCAGACTGGCTGGGATACAATAAACACAGTAGTGGTAAAAACATGTTGTTGGCAATGGATATGGCAGACATAATGTGGTTGAAACTTTATTGTACTCTCTTCTTCTTGAAAAAACCCAAAGGACTGAATAAGGAATTTAGTGTTAAGAATATAATAGATAATGTTGCACATGTACACTAGCATTAGAAAGCCTGAAACTATTGGCTCTCTCATAGCATTGTTAGACCAGATCAATGTATGAGATTAGTCCTGAACTAAAAGCAAATTAATTCATCATCTTAATTGTACATTTAAAATTAGTTATTTGCTAATGACAGTTTCCAAGTTGATATTAAGCTTGTAATGGTTATGTGGCCTATCACCACTAGAGAATAAACAACCAGCAAGATGTGGTAACATTGAAGCACTAAATAAAAACTTCCTGAACACATATCTTAAATATTTTATTAGTCCTTGATATATTATGAGTGAATGCCCATCTTTAGGCTTACATTAGCTGTGTCATTTCTTTTCATTTTCTTTTCTTCTATGCCTTAAAAATCCTTTAAATTTTTGTTTCTATTTGCTGCTAAACCAATTTACAACCCTGAGAGAATGAAATAAAATAGTAAAAATTAATCATAGTAACAAATCGAAGGAAGTTATTATCCAATAAACAGATTCACATATCCCTCTACAAGAAATTTGCAGGGTCATATAATATATACCATTTTTTAAAGACTAGTCTTCATAAATTCCTCAAAATTTCTGGAATACTTTAAAAAATAGTGCTATCTACCATTACATTTAAACTTCCAATTTACAAGTTCTTTGTCAAAGATCTTTTCTAATGAGGAAAAGCTTTCAGTCAAACATTAACATTTTCCTTACCAGAAAATCTATTTCTGATAGATACTCACCTATTCACACAGAAAGTTATCTTCCCTGTGCGTCTGCCTTAGAGATTTGCATGCCACCAGCCTTTTGGCAACTCCCACCTAGACTCATGAAATTTCTCGTAATTTGTGCTACTGCATAATGACATTATGCAGCAAAAGCCAATAGGAGCCTCCTGTACACTAGCTTCCTCTATGCTTTTGCACTCATGATCTTCTTTCTATAACCTGTGTGAGGAAATTAGTCACTCAACAAGTAATAGAAGACGTTACATGTAAGTGTGCCCATAGTTTTAAGGAAAAAAAAAGAAGGAAATTAAGTTGCCTCAATGTCGCAAATCTCATTAAGTTGACAAAGAAAAAACCTGTCTGATATGTTCAGTGCTGAAGAATAGAATGAAGATCACAAGTGCAAAAGCATAGAGGGACCTAGTGTACGTGGAAGCCGTGTCACCCTCCTATTGGAAGAGGGTTTTTACTGCATAATAACATCATTATGCAGCAGCGAAAATCATGAGAAATCTTGTGAGTTTAGATGAGAGTTGCCTAAAGGCTGGTGGTATGCAAATATCTATGGCAGATACACAGAGAAGATACCTTTCTGAGTAGAAACGTATGTATAGCCTCGGAAATTTAGTTTGTGACAATAATTATACCATAATGGCGTAAAATACAAATGCTGCATATGTTAGTTGATCTGTGTGGGCAATTGTTTTCTTGGAAGACTGTGTAAGACTAAAAAGGGTACATGAAAGTGTCAAAACTACTTTCCTAGTCTTTGTGCTAATATTATTCCAAAAGTGTGGCTTATTTCTTTAAGTAAATTTAACTACATCATAATGTATGCTGCATTAACTTAAAAACTAAATATTGTCTTAAAAAGTAATAATTTTTTTATTTTCTCACAGTTGGTAACTTTGATACATTAGACACAAAAATTGATGCACATGTTCTCACACATTAAGTTTATATTCAGTAAAATATATATATGAATCTGAAAATAATACATATATAATACTATAAGGTTCAACTACATGTATGAACAGTATTTATGCACCATGTAGTGTACATGTATTAGATCATTAAGTATAAATGTTTGATGCGTTTCACATTAAGAAGGAATATCATAAACAGATCAGTAATAGTTTTACATAGCTTTCTTCTGTTGAACTGATACTGTTCAATAATTTCATTGTATAGATCCTGGGTTAGACCTCATATGAGGTATTGTGTTCATTCTTGGGCACCTTATCTTAAGGACACTGAATTATTAGAGAGGGTTCAAAGGAAGTTGATAAGATCTGTTCTAGCAGCTCGAAACATTATCCAAAACTTCCTAGACAGACACAGTCCATTAACAATGCCTTTCATGTATACACCCCTATTTCTCTTTCAAGCAAAGGTAGGAGTCATTTTTGACTAAAACAGTTTTATTTTTCTAACAAGGTGGTTGACCTTTGGAATGGTTGTCCTTCAGGTGTGGTGGATGCAGTAAATTTAAGTGAGTTTAAGAAAAAGCTTGATAAATATTTGAATATTAAGGGTTGACTTTGAGTTTATTTTTTATGTTGTTTAACTTTAGTGAATGGTACAACCTTAATGGACCAACGGGTCCCTAGTTGTCCTTAAATTTTATGTTATGTTAATTAGAAAGTTGGATTATTATGTGATGGGTTACAATCAATTTAGTTTTGATGTTTTAAGTGGCTTGGATGTGACTGAAGTGACCTTGGGTGGGTGAAATGGCCTTCTGTCACTTTGCTTTTCTTATATTTCTTATATACTGCACATTTAATCAAACACACATTTTACAGATTTAATTACTACCGTCAACAACACTTCAATTCTCAAAGAGTTTGAAAGGTAATTTTTTTTCCATAACCTACAAATTTCACCATAACACCTAACCTTTAACATTTAAACATCAATCTACATCTTACAGTCTATAACAAATAACTTACAGTTCACCATTCAATAATGTTGTTGACTTTATGCAAAAATATTTGGCACATCCTTTCAAGTTCATGGCAGATTATATATACTAATAATATTGAAGAACTGGCAATTTATATTCATTTCACCTTTCCTAACTACATTGATATTAACTAAAACTTTATGTATTAAAAGAATTGTAATGTATTCCATTCAGTATTTCATGAATATTAAATTTATTCTGTATATAATTTGCCAACAATGTATGTTTAAACATTCTCACACAATCAGTAAAATTTTTGAGAATCCATCTCAAGCATTTTCTTAACCATGAAGTACAGGTTATAAATTCAAATGATAATAAAAAGCTTTAAAATCTAATTGTTAGACAGCTTGGACATTAAGTATAACTTTAAAGTGTTTGGTAAATTACACAGTTTTCACGGTGTCCAAAAACCCATTATTTTTTATAACTTTCATATAAAACTTAGGCCAAATAAAAAAAGAAATTTAACATTCAAAGTTTTCAAAAAAAGAAAGGAGGAGATCCTTTTTTTGTTTTTGAAATGACCTCTTTGAAAGAAAGTTTGCACCCTTTTATCATGATTGTTGCTTGTTTTCAAAGGGTCCATGTCAAACAGAAGTCTTCTTTGTTTCATTTTTTTATCAAAACATTACAGAATTTATGACAAATAAAGAAAAGGGCAAAATTAATCAACTGTGATCATGTAATTTTTCATTCAGGAGTCTTCTTTCTTTCTTTGGAGGGTTGAAAAACAATAATTCAAAAAAGGAAAAACTGCCAAAAAAGTGCAGAGAGGAAGCTGCAATAAAGGAAGCAAGCGTGGACACTAAACAAGTATTTTTTTTACTAGTCCTTACCGTTAGCTTTTACTGTGAAAAAAAATGTATTATAACATATTTTTAAATATTTCTTTTAAAAATTCAAATTGCAATCTTTTATGTTTCTAGGTTCATCAAAATTAGACAACAAGCAGTTCATTCACTTCCTCCATGAAATTTTCTAGAATAAACTAACATCTTTCAAGCTTAAGGTTTTATACCTAGTTCAAATATAATTTGCATATAAAGCTGTAGGGCAATTTATTCACTACCCTAAATAAAAATACCCACTTGAACAATTGTGTTCACTTCTTTAATGCAATCAATCATATGTAGGACAACTTCTTCTGTTGAAAAAACTTCATAATGAAATTCTTCATCTTCAATTTCCATTTTCAGTTTTGTAGCTGTAGATTCATTATCAAGCCCTGATGATAATCCATCAGTATCGCAATCATCGAAGCCATTCGATTCATTTCCAGAATCAGTATCATATGGTATATCTTCATCAGAGTCCATTTTCTTAATGAAATTGAAAGTTGGACTTCTTTTGCTTACTATTACTGTTTGGTATCAGAAAGTAATAATACCCTAAGTGAGGCCTAATTTAAATTTATTCGTATTGGTAAATGTTAAGCTTACAAAATACAAGTTACGAGACTACGGTATGATCGAGAACTTAAATGTGTTTTATATTACTTAAGTTATAAATTGTTATATCTTGTCCAGTCTAACTTCGTAACTAAGTTAAAACCAAGTGCCAAAGTACGTGTACTACTACTACTAGGTCTTATACTATAGTTATAACTTATATATAATAGTGTTGTTTTTACTTAGCCAGCAGTTTTAAATTAGTCTATAAAAACCAAATTTTCCGTATTTTATTCTTTCCTAAAGTCTTCACACAAACCAGTTTACACATAAATCTAAGTTACGTTTTAGTTTTACAAAATTACATTTACAGGGCTGTTTACGCAACCCAAAATAAGATAATCTAAATTCCTAAAAAAATTATAATTAAAATACATATATGAAAGGACTAATATAAAAATTTATGTTTATCACAATCGTCTAAAATTCACATTTCCAAACTTTTTTTTTTTGACTGACGGAACGAAAGTTGTACATTTGATTTGGAGTCTAAATGAACATATTAGCCCCATGAACATATATATATATAACGTCACCTAGCGGAATATTGTTTATAATTTCTTTTTTTTTTATTTCATAACAATGCTTAGAACAAGCACGTACTTATACTAACTTTAAACCCTAAAGTATTAAGTAAGCACCAACATCACAAGATTGTGGATTTTAAAAATGATTTCCTTAATATTAATATTTTTTTTTCGTAAGGGACACTTTTCATCCATATCTATATGTATGTACTGTTATAACATATAAACTATTTTCAACGTTTTTTCTTTAGATGTTAGCTAGAGGGCGCACGAAATTAAAATCAAAAAGTTAAAGTAGTCCTAAAATGTAAACTTATAAAAGTAAAAAATATTTATTTGTTTATTTACCTGTTTGTTTGTTTATCCACGAATTAATTCGTGGTCTTTGGACTAATCTCAACCAAACTTAATAGGATAATACGTATATTGAACCAAAGGAAATGTCATAGAGCGGTTATTATCTGGTCCCACTAACTCCTGGGCCACGCCTACAGCCGAAATATTTATATTTAGCTAATAACTCCAAGTTTTGGACCATTTTTTATTTCTATTTTTTTTTTCATTTTAAGATTTTTCTTTATATTTTTAGTTTTTCTTTTGAATTTTTTTAGTTCTTTCGTTAAAAATGTCAAACATTCACGCTGAAACTTTGTAGAATGGACGACAACTGCCTGTTGTAGAGACACAAGTGTAGAGGACGACGTTTCGAATTTCTCCCGCCTTTCATCTTCAGGTCAGTGTGTGTAAGGTGTTGTCGGTCTTTCTAGTATTCTGGTGGATTGTGGAGAGTGTGTTATGAGTGGTTGTTTATCCCTGTTTCTGATTGGAGAAGAGATTTCCTGTAGATTCAACCAATGGTAGCCACAGGTTACTTACTTCTACTTCGGAATCTCTGTTTAGTGAAGGTTTTATTGTGCTAATGGAACAGGATTGTTTGAATTTTCTTATCTTTCAAAATTTGTCTGTGTCAGTGACTTTTAAGTTTTTTTTCAGTTTATTTTGTCTTCTTCCCGTTCTTCAATGTATGTTTCGTTGCAGAAACATAGATTTCATAAATGGCATTTTTGTGTTTCTCATTGGTTGATTTCTGTTTGTTTTTCACCAGAATGGATCTTAATGTCTTGTAGGATTTCCATGGATCTCTATGTTGAATTTCTAGGCTATGCGTTTGAGTTTTTCACTGAAATTTTGCAGGTAGGAGAGGTAAATAGTAGTAGTGGTTTTCTGATCTTTTCTTTCTGTTGTGGTCTTCTTCAGGGAGTTTTTGATGAAGGAGGAGGTATAATCATTCTGTTTAAAAAAACCTCTGCGATCTTTTGGCGTTTTGCTTCGACGGATGTCTTATCGCAAATATTTTCTGCTCTTCCGTTTAGGCATTGGATTATGCCACGTTTTTGCTAAGAAAAAACAACTAAAGTACAAGGTATAAAATGTGGCAGGGCTACATCTGAAAACCCCTTGCTTTTCTCATGATCATTTCTATGTTGGGTGTTCAAAAGTAGGATCATAGGATCACCAAGAAATCACTTTATTGGGGCTCAGGAAGAATTTCTAGTGTGATCTATCAAAAAGCATTCAGGGTATTGTTGCGTCAGCGAGATCACGTGACTAGTATCACGCCACCCGTTTTCTAGAACTATCCAGTTCCTTCGGGAGATTACTAGATATAGGGTAGTCTGGTATATATAAGATGGTCACAACGTGACGGAATCAATGTGTGTGTTGGTAGTGAGTAATTGAACTGCAGTCAGAAAGTATTGTTGAAGTTAACGTTAGTTGTTATAGTGTTTGTTATAGAGCGACTGTTGAAAATAAGTGTATCGGTATAGTTATATTCAGAAAGAATAAACCAGTTTTATTAAGAAAGGACTTGTGTCGCTAAAGTTTCGTCGGAACGAATTTACGGAAAATCAATTAACAAATGGAGACGTAACAGTATCAACAAACAATGAGGTTGTAAAGAGAGTTTGTTTGTTTGTTTTGAATTTCGCCTAAAGCTACACAAGGGCTATCTGCGCTAACCTTCCCTAATTTCGCAGTGTAAGACTAGAGGGAAAGCAGCTACTCATCACCACCCATCGCCAACTGTTGGGCTACTCTTTTACCAACGAATAGTGGGATTGACCGTCACATTATAACGCCCCCACGGCTGAAAGGGCGAGCATGTTTGGTGGGACGGGGATTCGAATCCGCGACACACAAATTGCGAGTCGAGCTCCCTAACCACCTGGCCATGCCGGGCCTGTTCAAAGTGTACAGGCCACTAATTCTACAATTGTATTTCGTTTTCAAATCCCACCAATCATTTGAGAGATTTCTTTTCAAACATTGTTTATGAGTGCTTTAAAGATAGACACACTTATGTTAAGTGAAATGTTTTTAAGTCACATGATCCTTATTGCTTTTTTGATAAAAAATAAAATATAATGTTATTTAATTAATCAAGCACGGTGGGTATAAATGATTTTATTCTCTTGTACTTTTAATCTTTATATTGCCACTAGCATATTTCGAAAAAAACTTACTTCCATAAACCTTTCATTGTGCATCGCATGAATACATCTGTTAGTACCTGGAATGCTCTAAATGATGTCACAAACATCTAGTATTCTCAATGTGTGGTCCGTGGGCTGGTCCAAAATGCAAGATAACAGAACAGATGGAGATTTGATAGATGGTCCACGGGCCGAAATGGTCGCAGACGAAAAGTTTTACACCACTGAATTAATAAGCTAACAATGAGTGAACGAATTTTTCACTTAGTAGAGTACAGTCATTCAGTGAAGTATTCGTATCAGTGTTAGTTACTGCGTATATTCAGTTACGTGGTTCGATTTGCCGTGAAATTGTACATGTAAATTTGTTTTTACGTTAGTAGTAGCATCATTAGCGAAGTATTTTCGTTTGAACGTTATTTGTAAACATAAGCTTCTGTACAAGTGATGCTGATAATATTCAACGTTAAGGAAGAAATTAATTTTTTTTTGTTATGCTGATTGAACCAGCCCAATAAAAGAACAACTTTAAAACACTATCACAAGCTAAACCACACTATACCTCTATAACTGATAATAATTTCAATTCAGTTACTTAATCTGGTTCATACCATAACAGTCGTTGTTCATGAAACTGATGGCGTAAATAGAACTTAGTCCACTATTATGTTCATTTTATCCCAGCCGACCTGGTGAACCCTGTTGGGCGAAAGGTTTCGTAGTATTTAATATGGCAGAATAGGCGGCGAGTAACTTTGAGTAGGCTCTTTTGTTACATGTAGGGGATTTCACAATTGAGAAGAATCAGTTCGTTTTTAAATGAATAAACTCTCTTTCGATCTCTCTGTCTCTCCACAAATACTGTATAATATTACTGAGTTGGAGAGAATAATGCCTCATGAGGGACGATGTATTTGGAGATGCTAATCCTCCCCAAGTCTTTTATACGTACTTCTTCTGTATGGTAGATGTAGTGCAGTTAAGATATTATACCAAATTGCTTTAACCTTATTGACTAGTTTGGTGGGTTCTCTTGATTTATTTAGTAAAGCTAATATGAAATCCAGTCCATGGAATGATAACGAATTAACTTATTTCGTCTGCAATGTTTATAACAGGCTACATTCACGTTTGCTACAGGCTTCATTCACTTTGATGCAAGTTGTAGGTTTCAACAGGAATTCTTTTCTAACGGTACTTATACATAACTTACTTAACTTTGACTTGTAAATAAATGTATGTTACTCACTGAATAACTGAATGGTAAACCAGAATTGAAACACTCATTGAATGCTTCATCAAATTTGCACACACCAGTTATTGAAACTCGATTCTCCAAATTCGCGAACTTTTAGATCATTACATCATCATGAATTGTCTAGGCATTCTAAAACCCCTTTTATAAGTTTTCTAGATTTAGCCTCATCACCTTGATTAGCAGTTCCCACTAGCAAAGAACTAAATTATAACATTAAAAATATAGCTTAAAACAACATTTTCCTTCTTAAGTTTGTTTGTATGTTCGAAGTTAAGCACAAAGCTACACAATGGGCTATCTGTTCTCTGTTCTCCACTGGTATCGAAACCCGGTTTCTAGCGTTGTAAGTCCGCAGACATACTGCTGTGCCACTGGGGGGGGGGGGGCTTCTTAAGTTCGTAGCAGTTATATTAATATATTATTATTACTAAGCAATTTTTCAAACGTGTAGCACAAGCTTCTGCATTTAGTTACAAATTCTAGACAACAGAACTGCCCAACTTTTATCTGTGCTAATCATGCCCTTGGGAAAATCATACATGGTCATACAATTGGTTTTAGACAACTATTTTTTTACATCTGTCCAGCTTGCTGAGTAATTTGTTAAACATGTATTGATGAATTTCAAGCATGTTGGTTACTTCTGGAGAGAAATATGTCAGAAACTATGGTTTCCCATTTCTGTTAATGGAGCTTACTTGTTGACACAAATGATATGACAATCTAAGAATCCCAGTGGATTAGAACGGCACATAATTCTAAGCAAAGTAATGTTCTCTCTCAAATTGGCCCTCAACAACACAAAAATAGTTCTCCCAGATCCATCTTGGTGTTTGATCTGTGAAGTTATAGACAACAAGGACACTATAGAAAGCCAACTTAAACCAAAAGAGAAAGTATATTTTCTAATATTTGAATAACAGCTCAAAATTTTTATCCAGCGAACGATGTATATGTCTTGTATTGAATAGAGGATTGTTCTCTTGTAAAAAAAAATGCGTCAGTCTTTTATTTGCTAGTGAGTCAACCTTAATCAAACTTGATTACATCTTTGCTAAGAAAATTTTATCAAATTTAACATTATCATGACCTAATAATTTACCTATATAGTAGCCTTGGTTATCATATTTGATATTTGATATTTTAATTTCTATAGTATTCAAACTTTTTGAAACATTTCCAAACTAGTTGTCAGTAACAGTTCAGGAAACCT